GGGCACGGGTTATTTGCAGGGCCGGAGCCGCCCCTAAGCGTGTCACCACGCTTGACTCGGATAGCACGAAATGGGAGTGCCAGAAAGGCCACACTGTAGCCTGACTCACAGTACGCCGACCGGCTACTCCACACAAACACACACACACACACACTGGGCTGACTGCGCGGTCCGAGTTATCCCGTCAGGTGGCATCCTTTCGAACCACGGCTCTTTGTGCACCGCGATAGCTTCAAATGCATCCGAATTTTACTAGTGTGTAAAATGCGCTGAAACTTTGATCTTACTCTCTATCCCCATTCACGGGCCCTAGCAACTGTACGACCCGGTTAGTTGACTGGCATGGGGAATGTGCGTTGGCATAATATCTCAACGAGACGAAAACAGATAAGGAATGCGATTTCTTGGAAAAGCCACTTCACTGGACCAATTTAAATAAATAACTAAATAAATATATTTCTAGCGCGCCGAAGCTCGCTTAAATAATCCGATTCCCAGCCGTTCTACACTTTGGCGTACAGGTTGCAAAACTGCTGTTCCATGCACTACAAACGTGCCCCTCACCGTCAAAAATGTCTGACTGTTCGGCCGGCAGTTAGTAGGATCTCAAGTGCAAGAAAATGCATCGCGCCTGCTTAATGACGCAATAACCACTAGCTAACCGCATGCGTACACTTCGCCGCCTGCTTCACCTTCTATGCCTGTTTGCTGATTTCGCGTTGATTTATTTTCCATTCCATTTTGACCTCCGCAAGATCATGCAGTTGAACTGAACGGAAACTGCTGCGCGCAAATTTAAGGCTTGAGCTTTTGCCTAGAATAGCAGTTCACCTGCCTAAGCTGGTGTTATTATTTTGAGATGAGAAAGGGGCTATTTCGAAGGACAGTGAAGTGAGGGAGTTCGTACGTGTAGTGAGCAAATGAGTGGGAACCAAGTAGGCGTTAATTAAAAAATCTATCTCAAGGTGTTGAAAAAAGTACATACGGCGAATTTTCCGGAGTTTTTCGCAAATCCAGGAGAGCTCGGTAGATAGCCAATTTTTCTGGAAGGTAGTTGAGCGGAAGATCCGATTCCAATCTGAAACAAACAAAGGAAAGTTCGTAACAAATACACGGTACTTGTGAGCGTATCCTGTCAGTCATCCTAGTTTATAATTGCTAGCTCGATACAAACACACGCTGTCCATCCTCTCTCGCGTCAATTAACTTCAGATGTTGCCGACAAGTAGTTAAAAAACGATCATAACGGTAGCCACAGGCCTCGACACGGTAGAGGCAAGACGGCGTCCACTAGATCCGAACAAAACCTGCCGCACACAACTAAAGTTATGAAGCATGTACATCGTAAGAGAATTGTCGCTGGTAGAACCAACAGCAGTGTGAGCATTGGCTGCTAGATGCCTTGGAGCTCGGTCCGATGAGGGTCGCACGCATCACTTCAGTATTCCGTGAGTTTGGTGGTTTGCCAGTCAGTGTCGTAGATGTGAACGTAGTTCAAAGCCGGCTGAACTTTGATACACACCCGGTGCTCGGACTCTCCAGTCTTGACGGTGGAAAGCTGAAATCGCCTCGAAAAAATAAGTGGCCGTAAATTGCCTTGTTCTTTTCAAATCCTTTCTTTTGTGCTACAATACCTGGGAATCGCATCTTTACTGGCATTCACATAGATCTTAAACTTTCTCGATAACTACAAGAACAACATGGATATTAAAAGTACGCGCAGAGCTGGTGGTTGACGATAGTATTTCGAAACGTTTTTTGGTTTTCTGTGAACAGGGTCAGTTAGGCGTGGGGAAAAAGGGTACTTTGTAGAAAGTAAAAAGGAATAGATGTCTCACTGAAAAAGCATCTCGTAGACAGATGCCACCAAACTGAGGGACACCGGGGGTAACTGAAGGCCCAGAACGCCGACAGCCTTGAGTCGCCAGGCCAGCCAGTCAACGGCTAAACGCAGGCCACTGCAGACATGGCCAAAAGTCAGTGAGAGCGGAACCTGTTCCGACTCACATGCAGTTGGCACCTTACCCTGGTCGCCAGAAGCTGACTCCGACCAATACCGAAATAGGTGGGATTGAGCAAGCATGTTGGCCGGTAACTCCCCCTCCACCTCAGCTTTTTCTTCTGCGAACACCGACTGGAGGTCGGATGTCGACATTACAGAGACTACAACGTCCCAGCACCTAAAAAGGGCACGAAGAGAGCAGCGGTGAAAAAAAACTGTTAAGGAATTGAATGTAGAAATGATCTAAGTTAGCACTGTCACAAATAGCTCATATATTTGGTTCCTCCTCCCCCTACACACATGAATTCGCTCAAATTGTACTTGTGATGGAAACCACGATAGGTGATTCAGTTAACTACTCACTGTTGGTGAGGCGTATCATGAATATCCACGATCTGTTTCCCTCGATTGTCAGTCGATATGCCAGCAGGGCAAACCTTAGAGCAAATATCGGCCGAGCCTACGCGATAGGGTTGTATACGGTCTGCTTTCTTCACCCAGCCTGTGGCCCAGACTAATTACTTTTGTTCCTGACCTACTGTTTAACCGTCCGTTGAAGACAAGGTTAGAGAGAGGAAATGAGGTTGGGGAATGGAAGCGTCAGCCGTCAAACGCTTCCTGACTTTCTAAGAGTGCATACTGTCTTCAGTTGACCCAATTGTGAAAAACCCCCGCCGAGGCCGCGCGTTTTTCA